TCTAAAAATGTCTCCTGTGTAATTGAATGAAGCAGTTACACACTTGAACCTGTTTGTCTTGGAATAGGACCGGGGATAGATCGGGGAATGATGATGCAACAAGGCAGGTATCCAAGCCAAGGGTTTGATCTTATTTGTTTGTTTTAGACAATGTTAAGAAGGTGAGGAGGAGCAGAGGAAGGGGGTAGAGAGAAAGACTCTTAAGCAGGTTTCATGGAGCCTGATGTGGGACTTGATCTCATGAACCTGAGATCATGACCTGAGCCAATATCAAGAGACACTTAACCACCTGAGCTACCCAGGCACCCCAAGGTTTGATCTTTTGAATATAGTAGTAAGGGTCAAAGCTATTTAAAGGAAGGACAGTTAAAGTTCTAACATAGAAGTGCAAGCAATGCCTTGGAACAGCTGAAAAAGAGTGATAATGAGGGCTGAGAGTATTACAACAAAGATTACAAGAGATAACTATGACTAATGCCTGAGTAAGATTAAGTAATGGGACCAGAATTTTGCACAGTGGGATGGAAGGCACTCTCAACCCAGCCTTCACTAGCTTTTTGGTACCTGTGAAATAAGGAGATTGGGCCACATAATCTCTATGGTTTTATTTGGGTCCAGCAGCCTGTGAAATTTCCAGTCTGTTCTGTGGAACTGGGAGTGGAGAAAAGGGGGAGGTTTTGATCCCTGACAATTCTAGGTAGTTGAAAGAAAAAAATCTAGAATTGAAAGTTGTCAGCCTATAACTGGTTCCTTGTATAGCTATTTGTGGTTAATAGAAGCAAAAGTGAGCGATGGGCCACTTTCCCAGAATCTCTGCTCTCAGTGAATATTGCATGAAGTATTGCATTTAAAAATGAGCTTACTGGGGAATGCGAGGGAAAAAACCACAAATGAATGGATGTTAAGTGTCAAAGTCAGGATATGCAACCTGGACTTAATTTTTCTGAAGATCATTGTGAGAGAGTATCCTTTATCACTTTTTGTGCATGGTTTAAAAATATCTCGAGTCAGGGGTGCCTGGGTGGCTCAGTGGGTTAAAGCCTCTGCCTTCAGCTCAGGTCATGATCTCAGCATCCTGGAATCGAGCCCTGCATTGGGCTCTCTGCTCGGCAGGGAGCCTGCTTCCTCCTCTCTCTCTCTGCCTGCCTCTCTGTCTACTTGTGATCTCTGTATGTCAAATAAATAAATAAAATCTTTAAAAAAAATTCTCGAGTCAGTCTGTTATTGCTACGAAATATATTTTGCAACTTTATTCTCCCCATTAGTGTTCATAGGGAAGAAAACACATTTAAACATTTGCCCAAGAAAAACAAAACTGACATGTTCAAATGATGTTAAAATTGCTTCAAAAGACAAGATATTAATTTTAAGTTACTTGAACTATCTTGGCCTCTGACATCCATACAGGGAGACAATTAAGAGTCCACTGTACATATTCCAAAAATGCAAGTATTGCTGAAAGTTTGTTTTATTTTGGTTATAAGTTTGGGAGAGGAAAATCATACCATATATTTTACATGTTTTATACATTTTCTTATTTAATCCCAACAGTCATGTAGTTGGGGGAAAGAAACCTTATTTAGAGAAGTTAAAATTTGTCCAGTTCTTTTTTTTTTATTTTATTTATTTATTTGACAGAGAGAGAGAGACAATGAGAGAGGGAATACAAGCAGGGGAAGTGGGAGAAGGAGAAGCAGGCTTCCCTCGGAGCAGGGACCCCGATGTGGGGCTCGATCCCAGGATGCTGGGATCATGACCTGAGCCAAAGGCAGACGCTTAATGACTGAGCCACCCAGGCACCCCAAAATTTGTTCAATTCTTACTGTTCATAAGAGGGCTAGTCCTCTGGGAATCTGTAATCTAGTAGAGCAGGCAGAAACCAAACCTCAAACAAGTCCCATCATAGACCTTTATTAGTCCTGAGTGGCTCCTTGAGGAAGCCTTGGGAAGGGCTTTAAAAGATGTCTAGAACTTTGACAGGTAACTGCTGGGCTGTGAAATGGGGAGGAAGCAAAAGAGAAGGTCAGAATAGAGGAGAAAAGTTTCACAGAGGCATGATGAGCAAAATACCTGGTGTGGCCAGGAAACTGTAAGAGATGCTCTAATTGGTGGGGGGATAGGATGGTTCAGGATGTCCGCACCTGCGACAGACTTGGAGACAAGATGAGCTCCTGTTGCCAGATGAGCTAGAGACCTTGGGCACTGCAGCTCTCACCCAGCCTGTCCCCCTGACATCACCAGAGGCTTTTGGTCTCATCACCAGAATTCAGGGACGGATGAGCCCATGTTTGAGTGGTGCAAATGAAAGGTTTCTTAGAGCACACTCTCGAGATGTGAGGGTGGGCCAGCTCAGGGGAGAGCTGTGCCCTGGGTTTTGGGTCTCTATCTTGTATTGACAGTTGTTAACTAAGCAGTGGAATATTTATTATTTGGGGAGGGGATTTCTTTGAGAACAGGATTTTGTGCCTTTTCTCCTTACTTGGTCAGGGCTTCTGGCCTTCTTCATCTTAGGCCTGTCTGGTGTGATTGGGTTTCTTGTGGCTTTGTGAAATGCTGCAGTGACACGTTCCTAACTTTCCTGATAACAGGGCTCAGGTCCCCCTTTGCTGGTCTTCAGGCAACCTGTTAAGGCCTAATTGACTGCCACTCTAACAATATAACTAACAGGCAGCAAGGAAGTGGCAAAGGGTTTTGACCAGGGGAATAGCGGGAACAGGACTGTGTTTTAAGAATTCTTCCAGCAGTCTTCCACTAACGTATGCCAGTCTGGGTAGAAGGAGGAGGCAGGAAGGCCAGTGGAGGCTGTTTGGGTAATGCTGGCAGAACCCAAAGAGGATCTGCCCTGGGCCCTTCCAGAGGAAAGGGAGAATCCTGCTTCTTACCCCAAATGGTTCTCTAGGAGGCTCTCTCCTGCACGTATTTCTTGGAAAACAAGTAGAATTCCCTGACTGCTTGACTTGTAAAAGCTTTTTGTTTGTAGTTTGTTATTTATCTGTCAAGTAAAAGGGAGCTCTTTTTGTGTTCTTTTTACTCAGGTTCTGAGTCCTAACGAAAGGAAGTGGAGTGCTAGGATCAGTAAGGGATCTGGAAAGGATGGAGTCAATAGAATTTGATTGGATGGGGAAATGTAATGAAGACTCCCAAATTTTAAACCTGAATGACTAGGAAAAGAGTGGTTTCCATGTGAGAAATAAGACCATGATTTGAGAAGAAAGTATGCCAAATGGGATTAGTTGGAAGTTACAAGAGCCTTTTTCATGCAGAAATATCCAGAAGCTGTTGAAAGGCCAGAGCTGGTATTCATAAAAAAAATAGTAGGGGCTAGAGATAGTAGAGTCGGCTGTTGTCTGCATGGAGATAAAGCCTTGTGTGGTGGATGCCTGTGCGGAGGATAACATGGCAAATAGACAAGATGGGGGGGATGTTAAAATTCCAGAAAATAGAGCAGGAGAAGGGGGAAGGACATGCGAGTAGTGCATGCAGAGCTGGAGAGGAAAAGGGAGACGTGATGTAGGTAAATGCAGTAGGCTGGTGGGTGGGGTGGGGGGAGGAGGCGGATATAGTCGCAGGGGCTGTGTTTGATGATAAAGGATCCCTTCTCTGGGCAGTCTTCCCACTCCAGGCTATCCCAGACTGTCTTCCTCTTATGGCTTGGCATCGTTGACTGGTTAGTCACCAGCGTTTGCTTGTGTGTCCATTAGATCAAATGCCCGCAAAGAGCAAGGACTGTGTAGAGTTGTCTGCATGGTGAGTATAGGATGAGGAATCAGGAAATTAAGGACATTCCATGAGAGAGCAGTTTCAGGGAGGCGTTGAAAAGGAAAGCCAAAGTGTAGGTTGTGATGAAATAGGATGATGGTAAGAAATGAAAGAAGCAGGCAGTTATGAGAAAAAGAGGAGGGAGAGAGATCACCAGGAAAGAAGGGGAGAGAATAAAATGTCTAATTCTAGGGTAGGTGAGATTTGAACATGTTCCTACACTGTGGTACAGACCCGTGGAAAGGAGAGGTTGAGGGTGGGAGGGGAGGCAGTGGTCATGACGCATGGAGTGAATCTGAAAGGGACTGGTGGATGCAGTGGAGGGAATGAAGCTCTAGCGGGGCCCGGTGGGGGGGGCAGTACTGAGAAATGTAGACCTGAAAGGTGGGCCCTGCGGTGGGAGGTCATAATGGACTGCTAGGGAGGACAAGTGACAGCGTTTTTTCAAATGCCTCAACTTCCCTGTAGGTAAAATGGGCGTTAACTACCTTCCAGCTCCAAAAATCAGGTGGTGTTGACCCACTTACTTGCAAGTGCTTTCTTGGCTTTTTGTTTGTTTTGAGTTTCTTTGGGGGATGTTTCCATTAGAGGGTGGAGAAGCAAAGTAGGAGTTGGGTCCTCTTAGCATGCAGGAGACAATGCTGTAGGCCTCAGTGATCAGTTTTTCTGAGGGGTGGGCATAGGATAGGAAGAAAAACACAACGTGAATAAAAGGTTTTGGAAGCATGTGTAAAGACCCAGGGGGAGAGTTAGAGGGCAAGGATGCCTGATCCTGGAGGAATGAGACCCTATAGCTGGAGAGAAGGGATTAGGGAAGGAGTGACCACAGGCTACCTCACTGACGGCCTCTTACAGGTGAGGGTAATAAGAGAAGCAGGCACGCACCTGGAGCCCAAGCATCCTTAGGGATGGCGTGACTGCAAGCCAGCTTTTAGAGATTAATGGGGAGGGTCCATTAGTTTCCACGCAGCTGCAACGGAGTGTCAACGCAAAGATTAGGAAGTCCTGGCAGGAGCTTCGTGAACGCTAGGGCTTGCAGCCCTACCCTGTCTCGCGCGCATGCAGCGCGCCGGTCCGGCATTCGTGGTGCAGCGCGCTCTCGCCCCACCAGGAACTTCAGGAACTTGGCTTTCATCTAGTTCCCACAGCACGACCTTAGGGTTTTTTTTTTGTTTGTTTTGTTTTTTTTTTTTTTTTTCCCTCTTAAATTGCTGAGTGGGGAGAGGCCCCGCCTTTCCAGGCCGGGGGTTGGCCTCGGGGGCCGCCCCTCCCGTGCTCCCCGGCAGCTGCTCCTTCCCTGACGGCGCTGGAGGGCCCTGCATCGGCCCACGAAACCCAATGGCGCTACCCGCCTGGCTGCAGCCCAGGTAGGGCGCCCGGCCCGTGGCGGGAGGCGAGGGGTGAGGTGGGTGAGGCGCCAGGGGCGGGGTGCCCCCCCGCACGCCCGCGGGCGGCTGCGCGGGCAGCACAGCGCGGCGCAACCCTGAGCCCAGTGCGCTCTTGAACTCTAAACAGGCATTAGCTAGTTTTCAGTTGTCTCTGCAATCCTAGGAGGAAGGCTCTGTTACTGACCCCATCTACAGGCTAGGAAATGGGAAGGACAGGCTACCCTGCCACCCCTTTTGTGCGCCCTCTACCAGTCAGTCCTGCTTTCCTTCCCCCTCTGGCCACCGGGAGTCCTTCGATTGACTTTGTCGGACCCGCTGACCCAGGGTGGGTTTCAGACCTGCCAGGTGCAGAAACAACTGTTGCATGTGTAGATTCCAGAGTTCAGTTCAGGGGACTTGGGGCTGTGTGTTTAACCAACGCCAGGTTATTCTGGTGCGGGTTTAAGGAAGGCCTCCTTACGCCAGCTCCTCTTAGTGGTTCGCGTGATCTGTAGGGTGCCTGTCATCAAGCTACACTGGATCTGCTTCCTGCTTATTTGCCTTATTTCTCAGAGGTTTCGCGTCTCCAACTAGAAGAAATCCTTGTCTATACTGTCAGGGCCCCTCCCACCACCCTTCTGAACCCCCAAGGCACATTTCAAACAGTGCTTTCCCTAACTACCTCAAATTGTGTATCTGTCAATCATTCCTGAGTCATCTCCCCAGCAACCCAGTTTTAAACCCGGCTTGACTTCCCTTTTCTGGCCTGAGCCACTAAACTGCTTTGTGTGTGTCTGGGGAAGGAAACGTCTGCCCTTGTAAATATAATGGGCAGTGGCAACGTACTACACACACACACCCCCCATCAGAGAATGCATTCACAAGTCAGGTATGGCCAACTACTGAATCACCCACCACTGGGAAATGCTACCACCACTACTCCCCTCTTGTAACCGTGATCTCAGGTTTTGCACTTTGCAGACTGAGTTGCGGGAACACATGAGCATGTCAAGGGAGCCCTCACCATCTTTTTTTTTTTTTTTTTAAGTATTCAAAGCCCTCTTTGCAATGTTTTAGCCCTTCGTGAAAACAAGGTTAGAACTTTCTTAAAGCTGAAAGTGAATTTTGAAATAGAGCCATCTTTGACTTTAAGCAAACTCAGGATATTCCTTTTAGCAGATAATGTATGCTGTAGGTCCTTTCAAAATCTGAATAAAAGACTCTGATATGGAATGGTTTTCTCTTGCTTGCTTAGGTGGGCCAGCAGGTTAGTTAAAAGATTTGTGTGTAATGCTGAAAAGATTATTATGAAGGAAGTACTTAATGGTATTTTCCTTTATTTATAGGTATAGGAAGAATACCTATCTTTTCATCTACTACTTAATCCAATTCTGTGGCCACTCATGGATATTTACCAATATGACAGTCCGGTTCTTTTCATTTGGAGAAGGTAAAACTCCAGAAATCATTTTGGATTTTTAACATTCAATACTTGTTTTCACCTAGTCCTGCTTATGTTAATTTTTCAACTTCTGCGAACTTCACCGAATATCCTTCACTGCTCTAAGATTTAGTAGCCATATTTTTCAGTAACCATTCTTCTAGCTCATTGCAAAAACCAAAACCTTTTTGGAGAAAGGGGGCAGGTGAGTTGAGGGGGGAGGGAGGGGGGAGGGACTTGGCTTCCCTCTGACTAGGCAGTTTGCTCTGAAAACACAGACATGGCATTGGGGTGGTGCCATCTGACTCTTCCTTTTTGGTTCTGCAGCAAACCTTCTCATATTTGTTGGGTTTTGAGGAAATCTGTAAATGCTAGTATAACCTTTTGCCCAGAGAACTCAGGAATTAACCAGATTCTTTCCTTGTGTTTTTATTCCCCAGGCTTAACATAACTAGAGACTACTAATAAGTAAAAGTCAAACTGTATGGTCCCCTTAAGAAGTAATGTGTCCCTAAGTAAATGACACACCTTCTAGATGACTCACCATCCATATGGGAGTTGGTAAAGTCATGTTTCCTCCAGTTTTCTAAAAAGTAAAGATTTTAACCAGCATTTCAATTTTTAAGAAATGAATCACTAAGTGACTGTCAAAATAACATTCATTTCATGTTCCATCCCCACATGGGTAAGTGTCATCACAGTTTACAACTGTTGGGTGGCTTGACAGTTTGAGCAACTGCTGGTTTCCAGCTAGAAACAAACACATAGAATGTACCCGAGAAAAACCATGCTGTGCTCATCAATTCAGACTTCTGTATCATAAGGAAATTCATCTAATTCTGAGGTGCCATAACTATCTTTGGTTGCTTTTTCTTACTGTGAATCTGCAGTTAAAGTCTTTCCTTCAGCAACCTCCAAAGACACAACCTAAGGCTTGAATTCCAACTATGAATGTTGGGAGTCTTCAATCAGGGGAAAACATGAGCGGTGGGAAAACTTCCTGTGTGTTTATAGGGAAAAAAGTCAGCGCTTCTAGGCCCTGAAAATTAGCTGGGGCATTGTGGGCATATTACAAGTCATTCACGCCAAGAGTTACAAGCAATGAACTCTTTCTTATCCTGCCTGGCCTTTCCAGTGGGAAAAATTGCTTTAGTTGGCAGTGTGTTTATTTCTTAATTATTATCCTACTGTTAAAATTAGAGAAGCCTCTTATTAAAGTAACACAACCATTCATATGGAAAGCGGACTGAAAACAGCTAAGTAGGAGTTCAGTATAATTCCTGAGTCAATGTATAAATTAAATAGCTTAGTAGCAGTCTAATCACCTGAAGAGTAACACCTGCTACCTTCTCCATCCCAGAGCTGTGTAATGGGAAATGCTCTTTTATAGCAAGTGTGGGGCAGTGGATGAGAGCATGGACTTCCGTCCCTCAGGGACCATCTGCGAAATGGGAATGATGATAATAGTGCTCACCTTATAGAGCTGTTGAGAAGAGAAACCCTTAGTGCTCCATAAGTTACCATCATGTGAATGATCACTGGGCAATAAAGACAGCCAACTCTTCCCTAGATGTTTCTTAACATGGTGGGATTTCCTTTTAAAATTTAAGCCAACAAATACATCCTATTTAGAGGAATAGTTGTTTCTCCTATTTCGTTTTTTTCCAAATGCAGTGTGGGCTCTCTGCAGTGCAGACTTCAAAAGTCCCCACCAGAGGCCCAGGTTCTAATAAAGTTTTAGAAAGCCCAAACCAAACACATATAGGACACAAATAAGATGTTATTAAGCATGACATCATTATGAATATCCTTTCCATAAAGCTTCTCTAGTATCCTATTTTTCTCATCTTTGTCATTTTCTTGTCAATGAAAAAGGTGTGAGCACACCAGCTTCTTCAGTAAGTTTACCTCCAACCTGTTTACAGTTGATGGTTTAGATTCTACCGGGTTACTTTTATTTGGGAATTGCTTTATAACATATTGGGAATTATATATATGGAGAGTAAATACTACAGCTTGGTCATGGGCCTTCTTTTTCAAAATTTTGCTTTTTTTTTAGCAGAGGAGCAATTAAGATATACTACAGTAGGAAGTACTTTCTTTGGTTGCATGGTATTAGTAATTTAGTAGCTGTTAGGAAATTTCTCACATGTACAATGAGAAAAGAAGTAAATAATCACAATTTTTATTTCAAAGTGCTGCATAGATTTGGGTTGTGATCTAGCTTTTACTTTATTGTATCTATTTCTAATTCCTGGACACAGATTCCATGGTTGATACTTTCTACGCTATTGGTCTTGTGATGCGTCTTTGCCAGTCCATTTCCCTCCTGGAGTTGCTGCACATATATGTTGGCATTGAACCAAACCATCTCTTTCCTAGGTTTCTGCAGGTAGGTTTTGTTTTGTTTTGTTAACGATTTATCACTGGGGGCTCCTGGGTGGTACAGCCAGTTAAACAGCCAACTCTTGGTTTCGGCTCAGGTTGTGATCTTAGGGTTGTGAGATGGAGCCCTGTGTCGGGCTCCTCACTCCACACAGAGTCTGCTTCATGTTCCCTCTCTCTCCCCCTCTTCCGCTCCCACCTGTGTGTGTGCTCTGTCAAATAAGTCAATATTGAAAAAACACACACATGATATTATTGACTATATTCTCTATGCTGTACTTTTCATTCCTGTGACTTATTTTAAAACTGGACATTTGTACCTCTTAATCTCCTTTATCTGTTTTGCCCATCCCCCCAAATACCCCTCCTCTGGCAACCATCAGTTAGTTCCCTGTATTAAGGAATCTGTTTGGGCCCTTTATTTATTTATTTATTTTTTGGTTGTTCATTCGTTTTTTAGGTGCTACAAATAAGTCAAATTATGTGGTCTTTGTCTTTCTCTTTCTAACTTATTTCACTTAGCATAATACCCTCTAGATCCATCCATGTTCTTATCAATGGCAAGATCTCATTCTTTCTCATGGCTGAGTAATATTCGTGTGTGTGTGTGTGCACACGCACCACATCTTTATCCATTCACCTATGGATGGACACTTGGGGTTGCTTCTATAACTTGGCTGTTAGAAATAATGCATATGAACAATAGCAATATTGCAGTAAACACAGGGGTGCATATGTTTTCAAATTAGTGTTTTTGTTTTCTGAGAGTAAATACCCAGTAGTGGAGTTACTGGATTATATGGTATTTCTATTTTTAATTTTTTAAGGAAATTCCATACTGTTTTCTCCAGTGGCTACATTAATTTACATTCCCACCAGTTGCCTTTTCTCTTCATCCTTGCCAACACTTCTTGTTTCTTGTCTCTTTGATTCTAGACACTGCAAAGTATGAGGAGGTATCTCATTGTGGTTTTGATTTTCATTTCCCTGATGATTAGAGCATCTTTTCATGAGCCTGTAGGCCATCTGTATGTTTTCTCTGAAAAAATGTCTGTTCAGTTCTTCTGCCCATTTTTTAATTGGATTGTTTGTTTTTCTGATGTTGTGTAAGTGCTTCATGTATATTTGGATAGTAACCCCTTACCAGATATTTCTCATTCAGATACATTCTCCCACTCAGTAGGTAGCCTTTTTGTTTTGCCGGTGGTTTCATTTGCTGTGCAAAGGCTTTTAATTTTGGTGTAGTCCCAGTGGGTTAATTTTGCTTTTGTTTCTCTTGCCTGCGGAGACATATGCATAAATATGTTGCTAAGGCTCATGTCCAAGAGATTACTGCCCATGTTTTCTTTTAGGAGTTTAATGGTTTTAGGTCTCACATTTAGGTCTTTAATCCATTTTGAATCTGTTTTTGTGTATGTTGTAAGAAAATGGTCCAGTTTCTTTCTTTCACGTGTAGCTGTCCCATTTTTCTCAATACCATTTGTTGAAGAGACTGTCTTTTCCCCATTGGACATTATTGCCTCCTTTGTTGAAGATTAATTAACCATATAATCATGGGTTTATTTCTGGGCTCTCTGTTCTATTCCTTTGATCTATGTGTCTTTTTTTGTGCCAGTACCATGCTGTTTTGATTACTTCAACTTTGTCATATTATCTTGAAATCTGGGATTGCAATTCCTCCACTGTGTGGTTTTCTCTCAAGACTTCTTTGTCTATTCAAGGTCTTTTGTGGTTCTGTACAAATTTTAGGATTATTTGTTATAGTTCTGTGAAAATGCTTATGGTATTTTTACAGGGTTTGCTTTGAGTCTGTAGTCTGCTTTGGATAGTATGGACATTTTAATGATAATTCTTCATGAGCTTGGTTCTGCAGGAAGATTTTAATCACATTACCAGTATTATAGAATCTGTTTTTTAATTTAATTTAATTTTTTTATTTATTTGACAGATCACAAGTAGGCAGAGAGGCAGGCGGGGGGGGGGGGGAAGCAGGCTCCCCGCTGAGCAGAGAGCCCGATTCGGGGCTCGATCCCAGGACCCGAGATCATGACCTGAGCTGAAGGCAGAGGGCTTAACCCACTGAACTACTCAGGCGCCCCTATAGAATCTGTTTTATACTTTATACTATTTCAGGCTCTCTTGACTTAAAGTGAGCAGTTGAAAAGCAAACCCCTGAAAAATTGCAACTCAAGTCACTGATAAGAATTCTATGAAAAAAATGACCTTATTCCAAGACATTGCACCATTAGACTAGGCAGTTGGAAACATTCAAGGCAACGAGGCTGTTGCTTTGGGAAGCATGGAGGTGATCTTCTCTTAAGAGTTGGATTTCAGGGGCACCTGGGTGGCTCAGAGGGTTAAAGCCTCTGCCTTCGGCTCAGGTCATGATCCCAGGGTCCTGGGATCTAGCCCCATATCGGGCTCTCTCCTTGGTGGGGAGCCTGCTTCCTCTTCTCTCTCTCTGCCTGCCTCTCTGCCTACTTGTGATTTCTCTCTGTCAAATAAATAAATAAAATCTTTAAAAAAAAAAAAAAGAGTTGGATTTCAGAGCCACTTGCCACTCTACCTGTGCCATTGTCCTGGGCACTGGAGGATAGAGGAGAGTCATAGGATTGGAGTCATTCAGACTTCGGTTTGACTCCTGGCTCCTCTAGCTACACTGTGGGGTCAGATCCATAGCCATTGAGCTGTTTCAGGGAAAAGACACCACACAAAATATCTGGTCAATAGTAAACGGCCCAGGGGCACTGGGTGGCTCAGTCAGTTAAGCATATGCCTTTACAGCTCAGATCATGATCCTAGTGTCCTGTCCTGGGATGGAGCCTTGCATGGGCTCCTTGCTTGGCAGGGAGCCTGCTTCTCCCCCGACCCCCATGTCCTCTCTCTCAAATATATAAAATCTTACAAGAAAAAAAAAAAGTAAATAATCCCCCCAAAAAAGTTTCCTTCACCAATATCCAAAGAATAGAATATTCAGCCATTTCTTGTTCTTTTTGCCAATTTTTACTGAATACAAATGCAAAGGAGAGACCATTCATGTTTATCTAGTATATTTAATATACATCTAATCATAGACTTGGGACTCCTACAGACCTGGATTCAAATCCCAGTTCTAGCTCTTATTAGTTGTATGAATTTATTTTTTTATTTTAAATTTTTATTTAAATTCTGGTTAGTTAACAGATAGTGTAATAGTTTCAGGAGTAGAAACTAGTATGAATTTAAACAATTTCCATTTAAACATGGAAATTGTTCTGAACCTCATTTTCTCATGTGATGTGAAAATAACACTTACCTCATGGAGTAACTGAAAAAATGGGTGGGATAAGTTCCTAGTGCTTAGTTAGAATACAGTATCTGGAAGCTGTTGCTATTATTTTAGCTGCTATTTGTTTCCTGTACCAGGTCTTTAGCCCTAGATGACCATGTTCCTTTTTCTCTTTTTTTTTTTTAAAGATTTTATTTAAGAGAGTGAGAGCCCACACTAATTTGGGGGTTGGGGGAGAAGAGCACAGAGACAGGGAGAGGGAAAAGCAGACTCCCCACTAAGCAGGAAGCCTGATACAGGGCTTGATCCCAGGACCCTGGGTAATCCCAGGACCCGGAGATCATGACCTAAGGCAAAGGACACGTAACCTACTGAGCCATCCAGGTGCACTCACCATATTCCTTTTTTAAAGCCAGGTTTAAGGGTGCCTGAGTAGCGCAGTTGGTTAGGCAACTGCCTTTGGCTCAGCTCATGATCTCAGGATCCTGAGATCAAGCCCCGCATCAGGCTTCCTGATCAGTGGGAAGCCTGCTTCTTCCTCTCCAGCTCCCTCTGCTTGTGCTGTCTTTTCCTCTCTCTGTGAAACAAATAAATAAATCTAAATAAATAAATAAAGGCAGGTTGAAGGAAGATGAGAAATTCACGGGTGGAGACTCAATACAAGAAATCATTGCTGGTAAGGCAAGAAAAAAAAATGCTATTTTCCATATGAAGAGAGATAAGTTAGGTGACTATGTGAACATGTGTTTAAAATATGCAGAAAAAGGGATTTCGGTGAGGATAACTTTAACTATTTGCAAAATAAATTGGAAAAATGGAAATAACTAAATTTGACAAATTGGCATTGTGAAAATAATTTGTCAGAATCTGCATTTACTGCTAGCATCTAGCAAAGTATTTAGGATAAACGTATGCCTTAAATTTTTGTTGATTAGAGTGACACAGATTCTTAAACTAAAATCTGTTTAAAATACCATGAAAGTTTAAAGATGGAAATAGGAATATAATCCTAAGGAGCCTATTAAGAACTTAGCATTAGGAGCGCCTGGGTGGCTCAGTGGGTTAAAGCCTCTGCCTTCGGCTCAGGTCCTGATCCCAGGGTCCTGGGATCGAGCCCCGCATCGGGCTGTCTGCTCCTCAGGGAGCCCGCTTCCTCTTCTCTCTCTCTCTGCCTGCCTCTCTGTCTACTTGTGATCTCTGTCAAATAAATAAATAAAATCTTTAACAAAAACAAAAACAAAAAACTTAGCATTACAAGTTTATGGGAGATTTTAAATTTTACATATTAAATAAAAATAGAGAAATAGTATTCATTAGGATGAAGACGTTTAAGTGTTGAAATATCAAATGTCAAATAAAAATCAGGATAATATTTAGTCTGGACTCCTAATAACAGAGTAGCCAGGTAGCCAGGAATTAGATGGACTTCCCTTAAGTGTACTTCGTTATAAAATTAAAAAGGGGTACATATCTGTCCCTAAGGAAGCATATTGGGGCGCCTGGGTGGCTCAGTGGGTTAAGCCTCTGCCTTCGGCTCAGGTCATGATCCCAGGGTCCTGGGATCGAGCCCCACATCGGGCTCTCTGCTCAGCAGGGAGCCTGCTTCCTTCTCTTTCTGCCTCTCTGCCTACTTGTAATCTCTGTCTGTCAAATAAATAAATAAAATCTTTAAAAAAAAAAGCATATTACTTGGGAACAAGATTTATTGATATTTATTCCTTGTTAACAACTTCATGCTA